CAAAATTTTTTGATGGGCATTTTCTTCAACATTCTTAACATTGAACGTGCTATGAGAAAAGTCATCTGCCTTTTGGTTGCTTTTATAAAATTCTCTCTTTTCTTTATGCGAAACTTTTTTCTCCACATTGGATTACTGGTGCAAAGACATCAGGTTGGCGTTTGTTGTCCGTCGCGGTCGTGGTCATGATAGCGGTGATGTTAAAACGTTGCTCCACAGCATTGAAATTAAAAGTTTATGAGGTTAAAAGTTGTTTTATTTAATGTGTTTTTTGGTATTGCTGAAATATATCTGTGTTTTTTTCTAGAATTGGGAAATGTTTGAAACTTTATTAGTTTTTTACCTGAAAATGTAAATTCACGTCTGTGTTTTTGAGGGGAGAGAGGGATGCACTATCGTCCATTTCACGTTCATGATGGATTACAATTTGCAAGTTGTGCACATTTTCTCGCAAAGAGGGTAAAGTTTTTGCGTTCTCGTTTTTCATCATTTTTTAAATTGTTTTGTAATTTGTGGAGATTGTAGTGGTGTCAGCTTTAAAGTTAACCCCGTCGAATAAACATGGTCTAAAATTCATTGTATAGAAAAAATGTAAAAGATTAAAATCAGGAAAATATGGTAGGGTATTTTCTAAAAGCCCATGAACTTCCAATATTCTCGCGGCTCCTATTTCTTATATAGAGTTAGGAACATAAGATAAGCCGAGATCTATGATTGCATTTTAAAGTAAATCTAGTAAAATATGAAAAAACTAGTTTTATTTCCATCATAATTACGCGACCTCTTATTTGGTCAACTATTGGTTGCTGTTTAATATTCTGAAAGTTGTAGTCTAATATTATGTAAATGGTAAACGAAGTGTCTATGCCCATTTCAATTCAGGCTGCAGTTCAGTTAAGATGTATATACCATCCATATATACTGGGTAGATCGAAAGGCATGATTAAATAGACATATTGTGTGTGTGAGGGCGGGCCAAATGTTTTGTCGATTAACCCTTTCAGTGTCAAGAAAAAATTTTGTCGGAATAAAAATATAAAATTTTGTATTTAAGATCATATAAAGGTACGGAGTTTAGAAAAAATAGCAATGTTCATTTAAACCCTCGGCCAGGTTCGTCTGCCTTTCAGCAAAAACAAAAACATCAATAGTAACGGTACATAGGATAACCGAAAAATCGCAAAGAAATATAATACTTTTGAATGTCGAATATATTCGACGGAAACACTGAAAGGGTTAAATCCAGCCCCATGGGATGATTCTATGGAGAATTCTAAGCAACGACAATTCTAAATCGATTTAAGGCAACCCCCTCCATTCTCGATTTTAATTTTTAAGATTTTCAATGGGCTGGTAAATCAATACCAATGCTCGTTAAGGTTTGTAACTTTGCACATATATATATATATATATATATTTGAAGACTTAAAAGAGAAGAAAAATAATTTACAAAAAATGTTTGTTATTGTTTTGTTGTTGTTTTTTTGCAATTAAAGAAAAGTCCTTATTTTTGATGGCGGTCATGAACTCCTCACTGGAACATCGGAATCCGAAAATTCCAACGGTGTTAGAAAGAGTACATGTCTAGCTCTCGTATGAACTAGGATTATTGACTTCGCTCTAAATTAACAAAATGGCGGACCTTTGAAAACATATTTTTGTAAAATCGCCGATTTTTGACCAAAAACCAAATTAAAAAATAAGGAAGATCTTCACCGATTGGCTTTATCCTAGTTCATACTATAGCTGTACTCTCACAGAAAAACTTGTCAAAATTTGAAATCGATTGGGTTATTAGTTTTTGAGTTATCGTGCCCGCCATTCGCAAAAGAGAAAAACGCGTTTAAAGTTTGAGAAGCCCTTCAGCCGTCACTTGATGCTGACACAATAAATCGGCTATATATTTAAGTGTTCTTGAGATTTTCACTTTTAGGGACATTCTTGAATTAGAGTGAGCTATGCTATATCTAAATCTGAACCGATTTCAAGGAAACTTGCCAGAGATTAATTTATATAAACTTCTGTAGGTTGTGTCTATAGCCCTAGCTATGGGTCTTTAGTACACTATTTACTTAAAATCGAATATTCACGAAACTTGTCACACATCATTCTAAACATAATACAGTACGCTATGCCAAAATTCGTCCAAATGGAAAAATATATTGGGACTTTGATGCTAAATCGGTTTACCATTTATATGAAATCGGACGAAACTATATATGAGAGCTACATCTAAATCTGGACCGATTTTCCCGAAACTTGGCAGACGAAAATAAGTATGAGAGCTATATCTATATATGAACCGATTTTCCCAATTTCAATAGGGTTCGCCCTATATACTGTAGCTTTATGTAACTCTGAACTGATTTTCTCGAAACATAGCACACATCATTATGGACCTAATTCATTACTCTATGTGTGCAAATCTGTGCCCCATTTACCTAAAATTGGACGAAAATATATGTGGGAGCTATATCTAAATCTGAACCGATTTTCTCGAAACTTTGCAGACAACATTCTAGGCTCAATTCGAAAGATATATTTGGATATCAAATCGAAAGATATATAGCGACTTTGGTACACTATTTACATGAAATCGGACGAAAATATATATGGGAGCTATATCTAAATCTGATTTTTCCCAATTTCAATAGCGTTCGTTCTTGGGCCAAATAGACTAGCTGTGTCAAATTTCATGCAATTGGGATCATAAATGCGACCTGTGCTTTGTTTATAATTTAACACCAACAAACGGACAGACAAGTATAAATCGACTCAGAAATTATATATATATGATATGATATATATTATATATATATGATATATGAGAGCTATATCATCTAATTCTAAAGCAATTTGCTTAATTTTAATAGTGTTTGTCCTTGGGCCAAATAAATGAGCTCTGCCTAATTTCATCCAATTCATAAACATCAACAGACGGACTTTCATAAATCGACTCAGAAAGTGATTCTATGGATATTCTCAAAAGGAACCATGGGTCTATTTCGATTCCTTTTTACTATTTTGAAGATTCCAGTTCTATGCGATCACTTAATACCAACTAATTTATTGGACACAGTTTAGTACTAATCGTACATTTATAACACAAATTTTAAATATTTCTTACAATTAGCATACGAATTATGAAAAACCGCCTCATAACCACAACCCTGCCCAACAAATACTGTTTACGTATTTAATTTCAAGAATATGTCTCTATGTATTCACCCAATAAATATTTTACTAAATTTAGTTACATTTAGTAATTTTGGAAGAATTTTAGAAAAGGTTTCCTGTCTTGTTACTTCAAACTTACATGCTATGAGTATTCTGCATTCGAAATTGCAATATTCTAGGTTTATTCGTTTACCCAATACCAATAATATTTCGTATGATACATTTTGTATACTTTTAGCACGAGTTCCCAAAAACCCTATGGTACCTCTAATCTACGCTCCAGTACGAAACCACAATCCAATTTTCTAATTTCAATATTCTAGCTTTAGTTGTTTGATTTGAATTTATGTTTCATAAAATGGTACATAAAAGACTCTTTAGAATGTCATGTGTATGGATTAATTAACATAGGTTCATATATTTGTATATATCGCGGGTTCAAATATCGAAAAAATAGCTCTGGCTCTGAATTGTAGATATACAGTAAGTTAAAGTTCAGTGGTAGTTGTGTAGGGTATCATATAGTCGAACCCGTTTGACTATGGTGATCACCGATTTTTTTATAACTTTCTATGATTAACTCTATTAAAGGTAACCAGATAAAGTTAAAATGTTTTCGGTATGCTTCGCCCTGCTACCCAATTTCCGGTTGTTTTTTTTTTTTTTTTTTTTTTGGAAGGATGGTTGCGTGGTTACATTATGAGATGCATGCTACAAACGACTTTCACTGCAGCTATGGCTACGGGTTTACATAACAAAAAAGGGAACAAATAAAATTCCAGCAAGAAGACAACAACAGATAAAGTAATGTTGTTATTTTTGTCTAAAGGATGTCTTGTACCCTTCTTTAAGACAGAAGTGCGATACAAAATGATTTTAAATTCGAAGGGCTTCAAAAGAAAAATTTATTTCTCAGCGATGGCCTCACAAGTTTTCTATGAATCTCAGTTATTCCTAATATATTTACACCAAATGATAATAAAAATACAGATTTCCCTATTTTATACGATGTGTGACGAATTGAACCTATGAAAATCTGTATCACCATGTAGCGAAAAAACTCCTAACGAAGACAATATACCGGAGATACGGCTAAAAAATACTACCAAAACTTCCGTTTCCCAATGTTTTGGAGTCAATGATTTTGCGGGTCATGTCAACATTGCCCCTAGGAGTTGCTGTTGTTGTTATTTCAGCTATGTCTCCCCTGGCATTGTTGTCGAACAAGTTACCTCTTCTGCGCTTCCAGAGTCAAGTCAAAAATATGCCAACCCGGTTACCTGCAACAATTTCGCCTTTGTCTCCTCGGATTCTGCAATTGCTTTTTTCACACTTTGTTTTTACCCCTGGGGTATTATGGTATATTATTAAAGCCAATGTACACGGTTTAAGTAATATTTATTTCAAATTTATTATTTTTCTTTTGGCAAACAAATTATTCAAACAAATGTGCACTTCACTGGTTGACTACTTTGGCAAGAAGAAGAATATCAGTGACAAGTACGAAAAAGGAAAACGAAAACAAAAACAAAACAACTTCATTGCTGGCCCTTTCGTACTTGTCGCCGTTGTGAGAGGAGATGATTATTGCCGTGGTGAATATCACAAATTCAGTGCTGCCATTGCAGCGTTTTCTTCACACGCATAAACATACTCCCCCCTTGGGACTAGGTCCCAACTAAATACTGTATTATTGAAGGTATTTAAAAATTAAAAATAATATAAAAATTCATAAAATAATATAAAAAATTCCGCAACCAGCACTGGAGTTCATTGACATCAATTAATGCAAGCCCCAGAGCCATTCATCAGTACTAAAGTAGTTAAAGCTTTTGTGGTGCCTCTCCGAAAAACACCCAACCAAATATTGTGTTTTGGGCATACGGCAATCCAGCTTCTAGGTACGGTAGCCCTAAGTAAATACCACGAGAGGCATCTTGTCCCAGTACCACACTTATTTCTCCTGGTTTCTCAAAATTTGGATCTGCCACATCCTTCTTGGAGTAGACGCGACGTACGCAACGCAGATCAAGAGGGACAAAAGGCTCCGTACGCCGACCGCGTATGCTTTTGCGCAGCCCTGTGGAATACGTGCGCACACTATTAGTAGTGGACGTCAAAACCACCTGGATCATCGATTTAGGAATCTCACGGAACTTTGGCAAGGGACCCCCTAGATGTATTGTGCTATCCTGAGCGCGAGGATCTAAGAGTACTCGCACCTTCACCGCGGGGTCTACAAACCCCTTGCTGTAGAGGTACACCTCTGCCGTCATGCTCAACCACGACTTGCGCAGGGTATCCAGGGGATGCAACAGCGTGTGGTGAGGCAAATTGCAGGTGTGACAGCCTTTCTTCAATGGGCAACGGCGCACCTCATGAGACATTCCCAGGCAATTTACACAAAATCCCTCAATGCGCACATAATTCAGTTTAAGTGTCGGGTGCAGGTGGAGGAATGAGCGGCACTGACGCAGCGAATGACGGGTGTCACACAGTGGGCACTTGTAGTCGTCGTTGAAGCTCATCTACAATTTAAATTAAAAGAGACAAAATTAGGACACAAAATGATGACATATGATGTTGGCTCATTATGTGAGACAACATGTGCTGGCCGTTGGGCAAGATTTTATTCTGGGCGAGGCAGAAGAACAAGTTTGTGGATAGGTCGAGAAATTACACCATTTTGGGTTCTCAAATCTACAACTCTGACTCGGTCGTCTTGACCCTTGTGCAACTTTACAACACGGCCCAGTCTCCACTCGTTCGGAGCCATTGAATCCTTGTGAAGCACTACTAAGTCGTTAACTTGTAAGTTGTCTTGAGATTTCTTCCACTTAGTACGCTTGTGGAGCTCCTTAAGATACTCCATCTTCCAACGTCTGCAGAATTCCTGTGAAACCAATTTCACCCGTCGCCAACGGTTCTGCAGGGATGTTTTATTCTCGACTTCCTCCGGTTCAGCTGGTGATAACAAAGATCCACCAATGAGGAAATGTCCGGGAGTCAGAGCACTAAGGTCGTCAATATTGTCGGACAATTGGGTAAGAGGCCTTGAGTTTAAACATGATTCGATGACGGCCAGAATAGTGGAAAACTCTTCAAAAGTATGTCTGATTTGACCGGATATCTTCTTTAGGTGGGTTTTACAACTCTTGACGCCTGCCTCCCAAAGTCCACCCATGTGAGGCGCCGAGGCAGGTATGAAATGCCACTCTAACTTTTGAAATCCGTACCGAGTAATTGCATCGTCCTTCATTTCGGAGACAATTTTCGCGAAGTGGGACTTAAGCTCTCTATCAGCACCCACGAAATTTTTACCATTGTCCGAGTAAATATGGAGTGGACAACCACGTCTGGCAACAAAGCGAGACAGGGCGGCGATAAATGCTGGAGTAGATAGGTCGCTCACAGGCTCCAAATGTATAGCCTTGGTGACAAAACAAACGAATAAACAAATGTAACCTTTCGAAATACGGCACCCTCGGCCATTAAAGGTTTTTATTTCAACAGGGCCAGCGAAGTCGACTCCGGATGTAGAGAAAGGTCTGCCAAAAGTAGTCCTCTCAGGTGGGAGGGCAGCCATCAGTTGGTGTTGTCGCTTCTTTTGAGCGAGGACACACTTTGTACATCTTCGATAATTTGCTTTTACCAAGTTTCTGCCTCTTATGATCCAACACTCGAGTCGAGTAGCAGCAAGTGTCAACTGGATACCCCCGTGGTTTGTCTGTCGGTGTACGTGATCCACATATAATGAGGCAAATTTGCTCTGATATGCTAAAATTATTGGATACCTCTCATTGTATGGCAGAGACAGTGTGGAGCTCAGACGTCCATTAGCTCGGATGAGTTGATTCTTATCCAAAAAGGGATTCAGAGATACTAACGGACTGTTAGATTCCAACTTCCTGTTGTTCATAAGACAATCGAATTCCGAGGGAAAGTAAATCCTCTGAGACAGAGACATCAAACGATATCGAGCGGAACAAATTTCCTCCGACGAAAGGCTAATACTTTTGAAACTAGCAATTTTTCTCTTGCCGGGATGGGTTCGGTAGACGAAACGAAAACAATAAGTCACAGCGTGAATTGCTGTCGAAAGACGAGAAAACCTTTCCAAAACATCCTCCTCCACGGCAGATCGAGCAAGATGAACCTTACTAATTTTTGACTCAAGGGTTGTTTCCGGTACCACCGCCCCAATGGGCCATTCAGACTTGTCATGCTTGAGCCAGCTTGGGCCATACCACCATAACTCACACTCTTTCAATTCTGAAGGAGTCCGCCCCCGGGTTGCCAGATCTGCCGGATTATCCTTTGTTGGTACATGATGCCAGACGTCACCTATCTTCTCTTGTATAATTGCTACCCTATTAGCAACGAAAGTTGTCCATGTATAGGAAGGTTTCTTGAGCCATGAAAGTACAATAGTCGAATCTGACCAAGCTAACAAAGGGGCCTTCGGAATATCCAATTGGGGCACAACAGAATCAACTAATTCGGCCAAAAGGAGAGCACCGCAAAGCTCCAAACGAGGCAGAGACATCTTTTTTAAAGGTGCAACTTTTGATTTACCCACAAGTAAGTTCGAGTAAATATTTCCATTTACCTCTACCCTCAAGTATAAGGTTGCTGCATATGCCGATTCCGATGAATCACAGAACCCATGTACTTCAATCATACAATCCGGAGAATAGTCCACCCATCGGGGAATACGGATGTCTTCAATTCCCTTAGAACTGGAGACAAAACTTTTCCAATTCATTAGAGACAGGGGTTTTAATGGATCGTCCCAACCAATATCATCAACCCAGAGTTGTTGCATGAAAATCTTTGCTGTAACCACGATTGGAGACAGCCATCCCAGAGGGTCAAAAATCTTGGCTATTATTGATAACACTTGCCTTTTTGTGTAAGAACTTCTTTCTTCTATTTTCTCCAAAACAAAATAGAAGCTATCAGAGACAGCATTCCAGCGAATACCCAATGTTTTCGCAGAACTCTTGTCACCCAATTCTAGGAAATCTTCATTTAAAAGATGAGTACGAGTAAGCCCATCTAAAATTTCCTTAGAGTTGGACGTCCATTTTCGTAGTTCAAACCCAGCTGCCTTCAAAATGTTTATAAGCTCTTCACGGGCCTTCAATCCATCTCGTACACTATGTACGCCAACCAAAGCGTCATCAACATACATATTTTTCCGTAATATTTTTGAGCCAATCGGAAATCGATATTCTTCGTCATCTGCCAGTTTTAAGAGCGTCCTAAGAGCCAAATAAGGAGCGCAATTGACGCCAAACGTCACAGTTTTTAACTGGTAGTCAGTAATTTCTTCCCCTGAGGAAGGTCTAAATAATATCCGCTGATATTTAGCATGTTTGGGATTAATCCAAATTTGGCGATACATTTTAGATATATCCGCATTGAATACATATTTATACATGCGCCAATTCAAAACCAATGAGATGATATCTTTCTGAAGTGTAGGTCCAACATATAGTGCATCATTTAAGCTTTTCCCATTCACTGAGGGACACGAAGCATTAAATACGACTCTCAACTTTGTCGTGGCACTATCTGGCTTAAAAACGCCATGATGTGGTAAATAATAGCATTCCTGATAATTTGTAAACCCCTCAAGTTTTTCCATATGTCCCAGAGCCAAATATTCCAGGATAACATTATCATAATCAGCTTTGCGACTTGGATTCCGCATAAGAGATCTCTCGTTGCGCAAAAATTGAGTGAGAGCTATATATCGACTCGACTTCGATGAAAATGAGAAAGATAAATCAGACCGAAAGGGCAAGTCTACTGTATATCTTCCATCAGATCCTCGACATGTTGTAGAAAGAAAGATTTCCTCACATTTTTTATCGTCCAACGAGACAATAGGTATTTTAGGCACCTCTTCAATCTCCCAGAACTTGGCCAATTGATCTTGTACTGACACTCTAGTACAATGGGAAACTCTTACGCGTTGAACATCTTCCAACTTTCCCGCTGGGCCAGTCAATATCCACCCAAAAACTGTCTCTTGGGCTAAAAGGGATCCAAGAACATTCTTTTTGACCCCACTAAGCAATATTGCAGGGTAAACATTCCCTCCGAGTAACATATCAACAGGACCACTTTGGTAGAACTTTTGATCTGCTAAATCTAAATCTGGAAGTTCTCCAATACATACTGTCTCTAGTGGAATATTTCCTGTCACTTCTGGTACCACAAAGGCCTCTAATTCCATTGAAAAAGAATCATTCTTGGTCGAACTAATTGAAACATATGCTATTTTAGAACAGTTTGTCAAATGCCCACCACCTAGTCCAGAGATGTCCGCCGAGACAGAACTTGTTGGTAACTTTAACATTTTTTGAATCCGAGAAGATATGAAAGTATCATCCGAGCAAGGGTCTATTAAGGCACGAATCTTATACGAAACACCATCCTTCCAAACATTAATACATGCTGTAGCTAGCATTGTCCTTTTTGTGGCTGATGTGTGGAAGATCCTACCGCTAGCAGAAGTTGTTGGGCCAGATGATAAATTTTCATGCGACGTTGGCACCTGAACAAGATTTTGTGATTCACTATTATTTTGCGCAATTACTTCCTTATGTAAAAGTATATGATGTTTTGCTTTACATTTTGAACAGCTCTGTGATCTACAGTCCACGGCTCTATGACCCTGGGCCAGACAATTTATGCACCTATTTTCTCGTTTTACGGCATTTAATCTGCCTCTGAAATCCATACTCAAAAATTTTGGGCAAGATTTTATGGTATGACTACCTTTGCACAACTTGCAATTATTTTGATCCACCTTAGTGTGATGAACCTTGAACTGTCTCGATTTATCGTATTGGTTAAATTTTGGACGAGAACTTTGATGACATTGATTGCTATTTGAGCCAGTTATGTCTGACACACTCTCTAACGCCTGAAATCTTTCCGTCAGAAATTTATTTAAATCCTCCCAACGAGGCATTTCTGTTTTGTGTGTCAGAGATTGCTCCCAAAGAGAAAGTGTAAGTTTTGGCAGTTTACTGGAGCATTGAAAAACAAAAATTGGGTCCCAGGATTTCACATCTATTTTATATAACTCCAAGACACTTATACAATTCGTGACATCTCTTTGAAGTTTCTTGAGGCTGCTTGCCGATTCTTGCCCACAATGGGCCAAATTAAATAATGTTCTTAATTGCGTATTTATTAAAATCCTCTTATTCTCGTACTGATTTTTTAAATTGTCCCAGGCGATTGTAAAACCTTCAGCAGTTAAGGGAATATTACGATTTATTTCTCTCGCCTCACCACTGGTCTTTTGGAAAAGATGGTAAAGTTTTTCCACCGAGCTAAGTTTTTTATTGTTTATGTATATGGCTGTGAATAAATCACGAAAACTAGGCCAAGATACATAGTCCCCTTGAAAAACTTCCGTATCACACGGTGGGACTGAAATCGATGAAGAGGATTTCTGGTTAAATGTAGTTGGAACCACTTTAATCCTTTCCTTCCATTCCCCCAGAATGTTAATACATTTTATATAGCTCTCATGAGCTATCTTCTTTTTAGTTTTAAGTATCTCCTTATTTTTCTTATTACATTCTGGATCCGCAATACATGTCTTATAGGCATCTTTCCAATCGACCCATAAAGTCTGGATCTCATTCTTTTCAGCTTCGATTGCTGACTCGTTATACCCTGAGGCATCTGTTTCCTTTAAATTTTCCTCAAAGGATGTTATTTCATCACATTGGGTCAAAAAATCTTCAAATGTTGACATTTTCCTCGTGTGATAAAATAATTATAAAAATTATATTTTGTTTCAATTTATAATTGAGCTCTCAAAAGCTCCAAAATTTTCTCGAAATTATGTATTTTATGCTCCAAAGAAGAGTACGATAAAGTGGATCAAATATCCAAATGCTCTCTTTAATTTAATAAAAAACGTTAAATTCCAAATGCCCCAATGGCAATATAACAATGCACCCAAAGAGTCAATAAAATGTATAATTCCCACAAGAGCCAGTTTATGAGACAACAACTTTCGATTCCAAATTCCACGATAAAGTAAGAGCAATCATTTCATTCAAACCAATTTTTAGTTGATCACAAAATTGTATAAAAAATTATTTTGTGGCACTCCAAAATTACCACTGCCTTTTTTCAATTAAGACAAAAAAATCTCCAACAGATTCAACCAATATAAGGTTGTCAAGTTTCAACCATTTTCTTAAGCTTACATAATGCTTCCTCTTATTACAATGGAACTTGTGTTTATTTCCAAAATAAATCCTCAAATGCTTCGATTAAGCACAGAAAATAAACACCATGAGTCAAAACTGTATTTCCAATGAGAAAGCATTTATCAACCTCGTACAATGTTCAAAGCCAATCCACAGAAACAGAATATTGATTCCTAAACATAAGTCATTTTATGCTGTTGTTCCCAATGAACAACTTTTTTTCGACAATTATTAAAAATAGCCAATATCAAAATTATTTTGATTATAAATTACTCCCAAGAGCCAAGAGATTAAAAAAAAAAACAATTTAATTGTTTCATCCAAATCCCAATAATTTTGATTTAAATGTTCTCTTATTTTTGTTTGTTCTGCTTTCTCATGAGCAAGGCAGTTTGCATATGCATGTACATTACATAGATTGCTAATGTGCTATTTATTTAAGAGATTTAATAAACCCAACGAAAACAGGCACTCATGCATAAGAGATGAAGTTTACCAAACACACCATTATGAGAAAGAGAAAAGCCTAAAACAATACTTGTTTGCAAAAAAGGCCGAGCGAAAACAAACCATAAAAAACACCAAACACAGAGACAGCGCACAAGCAGACCAACTGCACCGCAGCAGCATGGGCAGCGCACAAGCAGCGATCTAACAAACTTCAACAAGTCGTTGAACCAAGAGGAAGGGGGAACTGCAGGTACACAAAATATGCCGGTTCAACACAACAACAACAAGGCAAAGCAAATCCCAAGGGCAAGAATAAGAATTTTTTTTGTTTCTTCTAACGGCACTCCAGAGACAAAAAAAAATCTTCACTTGTTGTTGTTCTATATAACTGCACTCTAGAGCCAAAGAACATTCAACTTATTTTACAATTTTATTTGACATCCAAAAATATTATCCAACAACCGAGCCAGTGTTTGCTGTCGAGCAATTTAGTTTCCACAAAATGTTTTCCAACAGCCGAGCCAGTGATTGTTGTCGAACAATTTTAATGATGAAAAAATTGTCGTACTTACTTTTGGAACTTTGCCTTTTCACGAGAATATATTACTTCTTATTCGCCGGTTGAGAAGGACCATATGTTGGGGTCAATTACCAACTCTCTCAGGGATGATCTCCAAGGGGCTTCCTCGACCAACCCGGTTACCTGCAACAATTTCGCCTTTGTCTCCTCGGATTCTGCAATTGCTTTTTTCACACTTTGTTTTTACCCCTGGGGTATTATGGTATATTATTAAAGCCAATGTACACTTTGTTTAAGTAATTTTTATTTCAAATTTAATTTTATTCTTTTCTTTTGGTAAACTATTATTCAAACAAAAAAATGCACACTTCACTGGTTGACTACTTTAGCAAGAAGAAGAATATCAGTGACAAGTACGAAAAAGGAAAACGAAAACAAAAACAAAACAACTTCATTGCTGGCCCTTCGTACTTGTCGCCGTTGTGAGAGGAGATGGTTATTGCCGTGGTGAATATCGCAAATTCAGTGCTGCCATTGCAGCGTTTTCTTCACACGCATAAACATCCTTCAACATGGGTTGTGTTGTGATGTTCGGCTTACAATTGTGGCTTATAGATTGATTAAAAAAAATTAAGTTTTCGGTCTACTTTATCCCAAAATGATTATCTGATCATCATAGAAAACTACAGGCGTTGTCCTTGATCATAACAGGAACCTCATGGAACATTTCAAAGCGTATAGCGCCCTCCAGTGTGGTAACGGGTTAATAATATCTGAATACATAAGTACCTGTAAATATTTAAGTGTAACTCCCACATTCGAGTACATACGACAATACAATTGGTATTAATTTAAAGACCAACCACTCATCTTGGATATACTATGAACTTCTCGGGTCTATGTCCTTCAGAAGTAAATATATTTCCTATAGAATACAACTTTTGTAATTTTTCCAACAACAGTCAGAGTCCATTTGACCTGCTAAATATTGATTGATCTTTATCAAAACAAGCATACATATTCTTTGGCTCGACCCCCTTCTACATGTAAAAATTCGGGATGTTTGGGCTATAATTGCATAATATACCCTTTATAACAATGGGTGTTTTATTTAAATTTTGTCCGATTGTCCATTTACTTCAAGTCGGACAAAAATATCCATAGGAGCTTATTTCGAATTCCGACTTAATCGGACAAACATTAGGTGTTTAGTACACCATTTACATAAAATCGGTTGCACACATATATGGCAGCTATATCTGAATCTGAACCGATTTCAACGAAACTGAGGACACATAATTTTAGACTCATTTTGATATGCTATGCACAATTTCGTGTAAATCGAGATAAATATATGCGCTTTTAAAATCTGACGAAAATATATATAGGAGCAATATCTAAATCTGAACCGATTTTAATGAAATTTAACGTAAGCCCGTTCGGGCTACAGTGTTTCAAATACCGTCTGCATTGGACAAAATATGTGTGTTTTGTGCATCATTTACAAATCTGAAACGATTCATACAAACAATTTCACATATGGGCACTTCCGTAGTCACTTACACGACTTTCAGAGGCAAAATCAAAATTTAAATCTTAAATAAATCGAAAACAATTACATTTTTTGAAATTCTCCCTTAATACTTTTTTGTAGAACTTTAGGAATACTATCAGTGGTAAAAAATTGAGAGCCTCCAGTTTTTAACTTTTGAGATAAAATGCACATAAAAATAAAATCACTCACGCGACTTCAAATATACATGACTTTATACATCAATGCTAATAATGGGAAAACTCAGCGAATTGTGTGAATATTTTGAACATTTATTATTCTTTACACGAATAAGAGATATCAAGCATTATTATTGCACTTTCAAAATTTCAAAACTTGGCATACGTAACTCACGCGACAAATTCTTCGACTTTGGTTTACCTCTTTGCGGAAGTGCCCATATGTCAATGTGCACTTAATTCAGTACGGTTTGTAAAATGTCGGTTCAATAGGACAAACATTGTGATTTGGTTGAACTATGGTGGAATCGGACAAACCTATATTTGGGAACTATATTTAAATTTGAACCAATTTTCTTTAAATTCAATTGGGTTCCGCCAACTAAGTAGGCTGCGCCTAATTTAATCTCATTCGAATCATAAATGCGACATGGACAGACATACGCATAAATTACGCATAAATTGACTCAGAAAGTGATTTTATGCATATTCTCTGGGGCAACCATGGTCCTATCTCATTTCCTTTGCCTCTTACAAACATATGGACAAATACATAATACCACAATGTGAATGTGGTGAGTGGAATAATGAAGATCTTCACTGATTGGATTTATCATAGTTCACACGATAGCTATATACTCATTGGTGTAACAACTTAGTTTGATAGATATCGAACTTCAGTCCCATACTTTTGAAATCACGAAGTGCATAACCCTCTATATATATCTTCAGCGTCAAGTGTGCATGTCATCAACAATCCATGTCCATTTTTTTTTGTATTCTAAACCATCCCACCCAACAGTGCAAACCAACCAAGTGATTGTAGGTTTCTACGCCAGATGTCATCATGTCAATGTGACATCTCCCGTCATTCTCAATGGATAGTTCCGTTTAGTTTTTCTGTTCTTTGCATGTAAATTAATTCATTTACACATCGACATTCTCGCCAGTTTTCGAACATGCTCTTCATTAAATGTTAATATGCGAATGCAAAAGAAATAAAATGTTGCTGTTATTTTTGCTTCTGGTTGTTGAATTCGCTTTATAACTTATTTAAAATTGAAATGGCTTTCCGACAAAATAAATGTAAAGTACTTCACAATTTTTCTTCTTCTTTGGAATCACTGAAAAACTACTACTCAGTTATTCTAAGGGATTGTGCCGCTGGTTGTATTCATTAAAGATTCTCATATGCAAAACACATAACCAGTCATACACGAACTTACTTCCATACATATACACATTGTTCACACATTGAGCAACATTGTCGTTCGTGCATTATTTAATGAATGCTGTGTAAATTGTACACACACACACAAACGGCCAACGCTTATACATATTCATTTAATAATTCCTTAAATACATACATATGCATGAAGGGTATACGTACACAGCACATCAGTCAACCAAAGTAAGTTGTTCTTGTTCCGTTGTTGTTGTTGTTGCTTAAATTGATGAAAATGTCAAGGATTTATTAATTTTTAAATTAATGGCATTTCTTTATAATTGATTACATTTTATGAACAATTTCATGAGTTCTTCGTTTAACAATTGACACATAATTGAGGAAGCATTATTGCCCTTTGGGTTACAACTTGCTTGCTTGGTTGCTTTTGTTCATATCCATCGTTAGGAACTTGCAATTCAGTTGCATATATTAATATTTATGGATATTTTAATTTTAGGGATTTTAATTAGTTTTTGGGTTACATTTTCAGTTCATTGTCCTATTGTTGTATAGATCCACATAATAATAATAATTTGTATGAGTTTTAGTATTCTGCATTTTTATTGTTGTTGGAGAAACAATGCAATGTAAATATATTGACGGGGTTT